CTGGATATTAATCCTTTGTGGGATTCATAGTTTTCAAATATTTTCTCCCACTCTGTAGGTTGTCTTTTCACTTTGTTAATTGCTTCTTTTGCAGTATAGAGCTTTTTAGTTTGGTATAATCCCATTTGTTCTAACTACACACACAAAAAAGATAAATGTGAGGTAATGCATATGTTAATTAGCTTGATTTAACCATTTCACAATGTACGCATATTTCAAAACATAATGTTGTACATCATAAATATATACAATTTTTGTCAATTAATGGTAATAATGATAATAAAAGCATTTGACCATATATGTGAGGATTTATTTCTGAGCTCTCTATTCTATTCCATCTGTCTTTATTCTAGTACTTTTTTTTTTTTTTTGGTAGTAACTTTTGAAATTAGGAAGTGTGAGCTCTCCAGCTCTGTTCTTGTTTTTTAAGATTTTTCGGCTATTCAGGGTCCCTCATGATTCCATGTGAATTTTAGGATGGATTTCTTTTATTTCCACAAAAAAATGTCAGTGGGCATTTAATAGGATTTTTTTGAATCTGTAGATCACATTGAGTAGTATTGACATCTTAACACTATTAAGTCTTTCAATCAATGATCGTGGGATATGTTTACATTTATTTATGTGTTCTTTCAGTAGTGTTTTAGAGTTTTTATTGTACATGTCTTTAAACTCTTTGTTTAATCCCTAAGTATTTTATTGCTTTTTAAAAATGGAATTGTTTTCATAACTTATTTTTCAGATTGTTTGTTCTTAGTGTATGGAAATGCAACTGATTTTTGCCTATTGACTTATATCCTGCTACTTTGCTGAGTTCATTTATCAGTCACAAAGGTTTTTTTTTTTAATCTTTAGGGTTTTCTACATGTAGTATCATATCATCTATGAACAGATATAGGTTTACTTTTTTCTTTCCAATTTGAATGCCTTTTGTTTCTTTTTCTTGCTTAATTGCTCTGACTAGAACTACAAGTACTGTGTTTAATAGTAGTAGCAAAAGCAGGCATTCTTGCCTAGCTCCAAATCTTAAAGGAAAAGTTTTCAGTCTCTCATTGAGAATAATGTTTGCTATGGGTTTTTCACATATGACTTTTATTATGTGGAGGTAGTTTCCTTCTATTCCTAGTTTATTGAATGCTCTTATCATAAAAGGGTGCTGAATTTTGCTTTTTCTGTACCAATTGAAGTGATCATGTGTACTTTCCCTTCATTCTGTTACTATGGTGTATTACACTGATGGATTTTCATATGTTGGACCATCCTTGCATTCCAGAAATAAATCTCACTTGGTCATGATATGTAGTCCTTTTTATATGCTGCTAAATTTGGTTTTCTAGTTTTTTTTGGTGAGAATTTTTGCATCACTTATCATAAGGGATATTGGTCTATAGTTTTCTTTTCTTGTAGTGTCTTCATTTGATCTCAGAATAATGCTGGCCTCATAGAATGAGTTAGGAAGCATTCTCTCCTTCTTATTTTTTTTGGAAAAATTTGAGAAGTATTGGTGTTAATTCTTCTTTAAATGTTTTTACAAACTCACTAGTGAAGTTGTTAGGTCCAGAATTTTCCTTTGTTGAAAGACTTTTGATTATTAATTCTACTTCTTTTGTAGTTATACATATATTCAGATTTTCCATATCTTCATGATTTTGTAGTTTCCTTTTGAAAGCTAGCTCTTGGTGTCATCCGTATTCTTAGGTGTCATATCTGTTCTAATGTGTTTATTAATGTACAAATTGTTATGCCTTATGTTGTATTATTGTATACTTTTAAAAATATCTGTTTCTATTCAAGCATATTATATATATATATATATATATGTGCATTACATTTGTAATTTAAAGTATTTTTTTCTTTTAATCAGGACATATGAATTTAATATTTTTTATCTTATAGTTATGAAATTTTGTATTTCTTAATATACCTCACTGTTATAAATATTCCTTATTTAGCTAAATATTGTCTAATAAGACAATAAATATAATAAACCAACAACATGGATTTCCCTCTTTTTAACCTTTATATTATCTTACCTTTTTCCCACTTCAGGAGACAGCGAGTGGATCCCAGACCGTAGCTTAAGTGCACATGCTGATAATGCAATTGCCTTGGGTGTTCTGCACAGTGCCCCAAATCCATCATCGAGTAGAATACAGCAAAAGATGTGTAAGATTGGCTATACGGCAGCAGTGCTATACTGCTGGCTCACTTTATTTAGTATTTTGTTTCTTAGCAGTTTAATAGGCAACTGAAAATTAGTTTTTGCAGTTACATAATTTAAACTTATTCATTTGAATTAAATGTCCTGGATGTTTCTTCCAAAATCAGAAATCCAAGTGTACTCATTATTCCTCTCAAAAAAACAAGAGTTACAGTCTCAGTTATTTTCTGTAACAATATATTAAGGAATAATATTTGTAAAATATACCTCAGGTTATGGTATATTTTGAACAATCATTATAAAATACATACTCAGTTTCTTTACACATGAAGGAAGCAGTGTGTTTGTACCAGATTTTGAATATTCTCCCTCTCCATTCATATTATAATCCCGCATAGCCGTATGTAAAATAAATGGCTTAGATTAAGATTGTTGCTTATAACTGGGATCGAGATAGCTTGGTTCTAAACCTAATGCTGAACGTATTAACTCTGGAATCTTGATTTCAGTTCATTACCTCCATTCTCTAACCAAAGTAATTGCAAGATTTTCCATAGGATATCTCTTTTGACATGTTAGATGTCCATTGTAATATTTTTCTTATATTACGATTAGTGTATGAAACCATTAATAACACTAGTATTATTAGTTCATTATAGTTACCCCATTATACCTGCTAATGTAGGTTTGCTTTATGCTGTATTTTAGTGAATTAAGGCAATTCAATATACATGTGTTGAGTATGTTGGCATTATGCTAGGCCCTGGGGATAAAAGAATGCATAAGTTATGTTCACTGATGTTAGGGAGCTCAGTTTGGGAGGAACACTTGACAAAGTGGGCTATTTGCCTTGGTTTAAAGACTACCTTCAAGCTTGAAATTTAATTGCATATAATTTGTCCATATGTATAAGATTTGTATGTCTCTCTTGCCCTAAACTGTGTGATTAAAACTTCTTAGCCAGCTTTAATCCTTTCCATATGCATTTATGTTGAGAATCTGTCAGATATAAAAAATTTTACTTGAAAACTCATTCATTGTGATAAATGTTTTTTGGCTCTATAATTAGGTACCTCTTCTCACATCAAAATGTAGAGCAGCAGCTTTAATCCTTTCCATATGCATTTATGTTGAGAATCTGTCAGATATAAAAAATTTTACTGGAAAACTCATTCATTGTGATAAATGTTTTTTGGCTCTATAATTAGGTACCTCTTCTCACATCAAAATGTAGAGCAGCTTCAAAAGTTCTGGTTGTTTCCTTCTGAGGCAGTCGGAAGGAACTGTTTTAAGTCACTGTATATTGATGAAACAAATTCTTATGAGAAATTTGTTACTATGACAAATCCTTACAAATAAGTATCCAAATACTTTTAAGTGTTAATTTGGGCAGATAAGTAGGAGTTGATAATTTACAATGAAAAACAGTTGTTGGAGTAGCTACCGTGGGCCAGGTACTGCCAGAAACTGGTGTGATACAAACTAAAACCCTTTTCTCTACTACCCAAGGAATAGCGTCCATTGCAGAGGTTCTCAAATATAAGTGTGGACATAACAACTTGGGAAGACTGTTGTAATACAGATGTCTGGATCTCATTCTTAGAGAGTCTGATTCATTAAGGCTGAGGTGAAGCCCAGGAATATGCCTTTATTTTATCAATGACTCCATGTTATGCTGATATAGAGATCCCCAAAATCATATTTTGAGAAAACTGCTATATAGATATACAAAGACATAAATTATACCAAATATAATATAAATTTTACTAAAGTACTATGGGTAATGTACTTTTGGAGATCTGTAGGTAATTAATGATAATTTGTGCTATCAATTACAACAGAGGTAGAAACGTACAGTTTTTTTAAGAACGGAGATGGTAATATAATGATTTTTGCCACTGCAAAGTACAGATATGGAAGATGTTATAAACTAGGTAACAATTCAGTTGAGTCTTTAAAAAGTAATAACATTTACCAGCTAGGGGAGTTGAGAAATGGCTTTCTAGACATAGGTAGTGGCTTGAAATAAAATAAAATTTTTCTGGTCTATGCCACAAGTTATAGAAATCTTATATTTTGAAGTGATACCAGTATATAAAGGAATTTCTATTTCTATATGATTTTAAAATTTGTGAATGTATAAACACAATAGCCATGAAATATTTGTGTGTTTAGCGGCAAGTTCATTGATTCTCCCCATGACTTGCCAAAATTTACTCCTCTCCCACCCCAACTTCCTGTCTCTGTAAATGGCCACACCGTTCAAACATTGGTGAAGTCTGAAACCTAGGAGTCATCTTGGTTCTCACTCACCACATGTTATTTAATTTACTCCTCTCCCACCCCAACTTCCTGTCTCTGTAAATGGCCACACCGTTCAAACATTGATGAAGTCTGAAACCTAGGAGTCATCTTGGTTCTCACTCACCACATGTTATTTATCTCTAGATCCTGCTGATTTCAGCTTCAAAACTGAGCCCAAATCTAACCACTGTCATCTTCACTGCTCAGGATCAGCCATCATCTCTCATTTGTGCCCCAATTTCACTTTTACCCTTTCTAAAACCAAGTTGCTAGGATTAATTTCCATCAAATTCTACCATTTATAGTCAGTGAGTGAATTGTTTATATTTATAGTCATAAAATTATTTATATTTATGTTTTATAGAGAATGAATCATACTTTGTATAAATTTAAGCCATAAATTTGTATGATGTCATTCTGCTGCCTGAAAGCATTCCATAACTTTCTACAGAAGGTAGAAAAAATTATATTCCTTACCATGCCAGAGCTGACTACGCATCTCTCCTGACTGTATCTTCTCCCATATTGTGGCCACACTGGCTTTCTTTCTATTCTTGCCACACTCTTCCTCCCTTCTTAGCCTTGGAATTCACTCTTTCCTCTGATCCAGGATGCTCTAAAACCTCCCTCTCCATCCTCACACCCCCTTCATTGTATAATTGGTTCTTTCTCATTATTCGTTCTCAGCCCAGATGCTTCCTTCTTAGAAGGGCCTTCTGAGATCACTCTGTCTAATGTCTATTACATTTTACATTCTTTTATCTTTCTCATAGAATCTATCACCCTCTGACATTATCTTATGTGTTTGTTTATTTTCTGCTCTCACCCACCCTTGGTTGGAAAGAAAGCAAGGACCATTCTGTCCTGTTAGTGTATCTTCAGTAATGGAAAAGGGCCTTGGATGCTGTAAGTGCTCAGTAAGAGTTTGTGAATGAGTGAAGCAAGGTGGTAGGGCTGTGTGTTAGTTTGGAGTGCAACTTGAGGGTGGGGG